GGAGGAGGAGCAGGAGCAGGAGCAGAAAGAGCAGGAGCAGAAAGAGCAGGAGCAGAAAGAGCAGGAGCAGAAAGAGCAGGAGCAGGAGGGGGGAGGAGGGGCTGGGGATGGGGCAGGAGGGGTTTCAGTCACCACGAGGGAAGAAGAACCGATGATTCTGTCGATGAGGCTCTTGGAGGCGACACTGACGTCCACCTGCCTCGCTCCTCTGTCCAGGTCGCTGTGTTCGATCTTCCACTGGCACAGCATCGCAAAGTTCAGCAACGTCGACAACGAAGAGAAGGAGAGGGAGGAGGGGGGGGGATGAAGGACAACGGTGGGCGGGGTTGCAGAGCAGGAGGGGAATGGAGGGAGAATGAGAGAATGGAAGGGGAGCAGGGGAGTGGAGTCAGGGCAGCGGGAGGGTTCTACCTGCGCTACTGTGGAGTCGTTGGAGCAGGAGAAGAGATGATCGTCGTACACGAAGAGCGAGTTGACGGCTGTCTCGTGGTACGAGAACGCTGGCTCCAGCTCCTCCCCTGTATCCGTCAGGTAGCTGCGGATGACTCCGTCGCCGGTCCCTGCGAAGAGCAACTGACGGTGCTCGGCGAGGCAGAGGACAGGCTGAGACAGCTGGGCGTCAGCTCGTTGGCGATCAGGTGGAAAGGAGGAGGACCTGGGAGAGCTGGGGGCAGAAGAGCGTGCAGCGGCCGGTAGCGATGTCCCATCGCCTGCACCGCAGGATGTTCGATATGAGAGGGCGTCCGGAGGAGGAGGAGGAGGAGGAGGAGGAGGAGGAGGAGGAGGAGGAGGAGGAGGAAGGAAGGAAGGAAGGAAGGAGGGAAGAGAAACAAGAGTGGAGGGATGAGGAGGAGGGAACGAGGGGGGCGGGGGGGGGGGGCACAGTGAGACAGCAACGAAAACGCAGCTCTCAGAGGCGACTCAGAGGAGGATTGCGAGGTAGGAGGCATGCGACGGCGGGTAGAGCACCCACCTGATGGTCTTGTCCCAGGACGCGCTGTAAATGTAGGGGTCGGCCACTACCAAGGAGGCAACGACGGCAGTATGTCCCTCGTACACGAAGATGCACTCCCCTGTGTCCGTCCGCCATGCTCGGATCGTGCAGTCCCTTGAGCCGCTGAAGACGACGCCGACACCAGCGGCAAGACAGTAGATCGGGTCCTACATCACCGAAAGTCATGTCCAGGGGACAGGAGCAGGAGAATGGGCAGTAGCTGGAAGAAGAAGGAGCAGGGGCAGGGGCAGGAGCTGTAAAAATGCAGAAAGGGGAGGAGGAGGTGCAGGAGAATCCTCACGTTGTGGGCGTTCAGCTCGGCGATGAAGCGGCAGGTCGCCACGTCCCATTTCCTAATGGAGCTGTCCCAGGAGCCCGAGAACAAGGATCCCTCGCTGACGAGCAGGCAGGAGACCCAGTCCGAGTGCCCACTCAGCGTTTCGAGGCACCGGCCGGTCGCTACGTCCCACTTCTTGATGCTGCAGTCTGCTGATGCCGAGAACACGACCTCCCCTTCCCCTGCCACAGTGACGGCAAGCACGCGGTCCTTGTGCTCGCTCCATCGCATCTGCTTCGCGTCCGAGGAAGGGTTGAGAGGGGTGCAGCCGATAGTGCGGTCTGAGGAGGCAGAGAACACCAGGCCCTCCGACACCACCACGCCATGCACTTTGTCGTCGTGCAGGCCGTTGTAAACGTTGACTAGCGACTGACTCGCCGGAGTCTCCGAGGACTCGTGCGGCGCTGGGCGGTGACCGACCTCCATGTCCTCCATCAGGTCGCCAAGGAACGAAGTCGCTCCTGGCGGGAACGAGAATCGTTCCTTCTTAGATGTCGTCGTCAGGCTCTTATGTTCCTCCTGCCCATTTGCCTGAACCGTCGCTGTTGAGACCTTCTCCCACACTCTGCACGTGCGATCGCCGCTGGAAGCGATGACGACATGTCCCTCCACCATCACCATGGTAAGACCGGCTCGAGCGAACTGATCGGATGTCAGAGGCTCTGTCTGCGCGCTGTTTTGATCCCACACGTACAGGTGCGCGTCGTTGCCTGCCCCAAAGATCTTCCCTGCCGTCAGCGTGATCCCTCGCATCCCCGCGTTCGCCTTGCACACCCGCACGCACTGGCCCGTCTGCGTGTCCCACACGCGGATGGTCGAGTCGAAGGAGGAGCTGTAAAGAGAGTCGCCCTGCACCTTGAGGTCCGTCACGCAGTCAGTGTGCCCCATGTACTCTCGCAGCTGCGAGCCAGACAGCCAGTCCCACTGCCTGATGGTGCAGTCGTCGGCTCCCGTGAAGAGGATGTCCTCCTGCACAGCGAGAGAGAGGACGGGGCCCGTGTGCCCCTTGAGCACAGCAACGCACTTAGAATCTTTCTCCCTCCACACCCGCACCGTCTTGTCTCGTGATGCAGAGATCAACCAGTTCTCCCTCACCGCCAGCCGGTAAACGGCTTCTGAATGTCCCTTGTACGTCGCCACCAGCGTCTTCTCCTTGATGTCCCACTTTGCTATCGTCGTGTCGAATGATCCGCTGTACAAGAAGCCCTGGCTGACGGTCAGGCAGCAAACACCTTGCTCATGGCTCTTCATCTCTGTGCCCTCCTTCCCCTTCACTTCTACGGCTCGGAAGTCTGTGATGAAGCTCCCTGTCTCCAGGTCCCACTCCTTGATCAGTCCTGCAGGCTCTGCATATCAGACGGATCGGGCACGAGGCAGGTGCACGACAGAGGGAACTGCCAAGGCAGGTCGTACCGTCACTCGAGGCCGTGATCAACCGTTCGCGCTCGTCATCCCGTTTCTTCTTGACGACAACAAAACAGTTCACAACATCCTTGAGGTCAAAACAAACGTCAGTGCGAGCATGCACTTCCAGGCGTGTCAGGTACGAACATCGGTCGCTAGCACAAGCAACAACAAGAACAATTGACACACAGAACGAGTGAGGAAGCATCAACCTTGTGTCCCTTGAAGGATCTTCTGTGAAGATACCCACTCTTTGTGAGCATGCGCGTCTCTCCTCCTCCTCCTCCTCCTCCTCCTCCTCCTCTCCGCCGCGCCACCGGTTGCCCGCCTGCCATGCTGACGCTTTGGTGTTGGCGATGAGGCGGGCTGTGTGGGTTCGGGCCCGGAGTCCCCCGGGCCGGGCCCGGTGGTCACTAGAGATCAGTTACAAACTTGGGGAGTTGTAACCGACAGCCAGTGTCGCTGTAACTGTCGACACTCTATTTTCTCTTGTCATGCAGGGAGCAGTGCGGGGAGGGGAGGAGGGAGGGAGGGGGAGAAACGAACGGACGAACATGCAGGCAGAGAGCGAGAGCGAGAGAGAGAGACAGCGAGAGAGACAGCGAGAGAGATAGAGGTGTGAGGGAAGACGCAGCTAGTGATCAACAAGTAGGATAACCAAGTTATATTGATAGGATATTAATGGGGGGGGGGAGTGGGGAGTGGGGCGTGTTTAGGCTGCAAGAATATTGAGAGAGCAAAACATAGATATCAGGAAGAAACACGTTTCAAACAAATGATGATGGGTGGGAGCGTTTGTTGTCTCCTCTCAATCAAGAGTGCTCTTGTCAACTTGATCATATCCCTTGACGCGCACGACTTAGCACAGATGAGGCAACCGTAGCTGGAGGAGAATAGCCAACCAAGACCGTCTGGAACCAGTAACATCTGAAATATCATGGGTGAGAACAAGCTAGGCTTGAACGCGTCGTTCGACATCCAGTCAGGCTTTCTCCTCGTCTCGGCAAATCCGAATCTCGGAGATGAGATTTCCGGAAAGAAAGGCCATGAGAGAGGAGACATGTACATCCGACCGCATAAGATTGTGAGCAAAGCTGGAACAGAATCCTCAGGCTGGTACTACCCGCGAGAAGGCGATCGGGTGATCGCGTTCAACTACACCATCTTCAAAGCTCCAGCTAACTGGTTGGGTGAGTCCTCTTTGACCTGATGACTCTGCATTGTTCTGACTGTTCTGAGTAGATGTTGACCCCCCTGGTCCCGTGAAGTCATGGAGCACTGACGGTCGACGGATGCTATGGAAGGAGTTCTTTGAGTCTCTGTGGCAACATTCTGTGGAAAGGGCGCTGGTGACAAACCCGTGCTACTTGGAGCTCGAGAGAGGTATATCGGGATGGCTGGGTACAACTTGGGAAGCATACGGCCTTAGTCTCTCTTGGCACTGTCAGGATCCTCATCTTCGTGAGCAGTTCTATGTGGAGATGATGAAAGATAATGCTCTGCTCTCGGGGTTTGGGCTGTGTATCGACAACAGAGATTGGTCCATCACGTATGTCGAGCCCGGTACTGTAGCTGACCGGCTTGGAATCGTGCTTGGAAGCACAGTCGTGAAGATGAATGGAGCACCCGTGGCTAAGCGCACGATTCCTTCTTTCCTGCGGGAGATGGAAGGTGCAAGTGAACTTAGTTTGGCCATACTGCGGAATTCGCAAGGGAAAGTCACGGGATACAATATAGTGATGAAAGTTGCAGACATTCTCCCTGGCAAGGAGTTGGTGGCTGATAAGTTGGATCGATCAATCGCTGGGAGTCTGCCTTTCAATGCACTTCGGGCCGTGTCCATGAACGATCCACGAGATGCCAAGGAAGTGCCGTACGAAGAGAGCTCGCTCAGCGTGGACGTGGAGACTGGGCCAGGAGAAGGAGCAGAGCCAGCCAAGGACAGTGTCCAAGTGGATGCGAGGGAAGAGACATGCACAGATGCTCTGAGACCTGCTGCGAATCTCAACAGTACGTGCAGGGTGAAAGACGAGATCGTGAAGCTCGACTCTCAACCTACGCCTGTTCCAGCTGAAGGTCCACCGGCAAAGGAGAACGCAGGGGAAACCGAAGCTGGAAAAGCAGCTCGTTGGACCGTCTACACCCCCCCAGCAGGTGTCAGCACCGACAGGCTGTGGCAGGACAGCCCAAACGACCAGCAGAGGCAGGAGGAGCCGGTCGTGACCATGACCAAAGAAAGTTCGAATGAGAATGGTCTCTCAGCAACAAGTCATGAGAAGATGGACATGATGGTAGCAGCGGTTGACAACATCGTGTCCCTTGTGAAGAGCTCGGTGGTCCCTGAAGTTGCTGCTGCTCGTGGTGATCAGGCCGGCCGGAAGAATCCCCCCCGGGGAAACGCCGGCAAGAAGAAATCCTCTGAGAAGCAGTCCGAATCTTGGCCGAATGCTCTGGACGCCCAACCTGCTCAGAGTCGAGCAGCAACGGCAGACTCCAAGGTGACTCTGACCGAGAGGACGAGTGATGTTTGAATGCCTGACGTGATGGTTGTCGACACCAGATGAATGGAGCCAAGGGGAAGTCCAAGAACGGCACCAAGGTCGTCCCACGTGCTGTGCCGATCGAATGTGAGCTGTCGGAGAAAGCTGGAGGTCAAGAGGTCGCCAGCGCTAGGATGCGAGTCAAACGGGAGCCTCCTGCTCGTCGTGAAGGATCGAGCAGCGATAGGCTGAGCTCCCCCAAGGTAGACCGGGGAATGAGGGAGATGATCTCACCACCCCCTGACCTCTCCGTGAGGGCTGAGCTGGTGAATGTAGGGGTGAGAGGAGCCGTTGGTGCTCCTCTTGGCTGACGGATGCTGGCAGGATCAGGATGGGACGCTTTCATCCGACAACAGCGATACTGTGGATCCTTCGAGCGTCAGACTGGAGGCCAGGGATCTCCAAGACTTGTACTCCACCGCCATGGAAGCCTTCAGCCTGCAGAAGAAGCTCCTTCAGGCGCTGAAAGACGGTGCCATGGAGGATTCATGCGAGCAGCAGCAGCAGCAGCAGCAGCAGCAGCAGCCATCCACTGCTGACTCAGCAGCGACGTCTGGCCATGAGAAGCTGAGGAAGGAGGATCTGGAGAAGCTACTCAAGGACCTCACTCAGCAGCTCCTCAACGGCAGCAGCATGATACGAGCGCAGCTCTTGAGAGCCAAGTCTGTCCAGCAGGAGCTCGAGTCGTTGAGGACCGTGGTTGCCAGCGCTCCGCCAGCAGGAGCAGGGGCTCTGGCAGTGACACAGGGGCAGAGAGACAGTGAGTGCGGGCCCGAGGATGGTGCGGAGGGAGAGGAGGTCCCTGAAGTGTCGAGCGATCGGGAAGTACTTGTGGAGTCATCTGAACTAGAGTCTTGCGGGAGGGAGGGAGGGGGAGAGGTGGCGGGGGATGGAAGCGGAAGGAATGCGGAGCTGCTGGAATGGTACAGAAAGATCTCCGAGGTCACGCTGAACGCTAGGGATGAGCTGGAGGGAAGAAGCTGTGCTCAGTCGCTGACCCTCTCCTCTCCTCCTGCTCCCGTGGACGATGATGGAGGAGCAGGAGGGTCAGGGGAGGAGGCAGCCAACATCTCCTCCAGCTCCCTTCTTGTGCTTCTCAACGCGCTCAGAAGTCTTCCTCCTCCCGACTGGCTGAAGCGAAGTTCCTCGAGGACCGAACGGTCCTCGAGGAAGTCAAAGGGATGGGAAGGAGATTCGGCGAAGTCAAAGGGATGGGAAGGAGACGAGGAGGCTGAGGATGAAGCTAGGAAGAGGCAGCTGAAGGATGCAAGATCCTCTCGCCGTGATCATCCTGAACAGGAACTGCAGAGGATCTCAGAGCATGTCGGGACTTTCGTCCTCTCGGCTCAGCAGTTGATGGACTCGTTGGATTCTTGTTTACTAGCCTGTGACTCTGCCTTCCGCTCTCGCTCTGCATCTTCCTCTGCCTCTCCCTCGCTCCATATGTTGGAGTCAACGGCAGCTGGGGATGAAAACAAGTGCCGCAGGCTGGAGGAGGAGGTAAATGCTTCTCTCCCCTCTGACTGCATCTGACAAACACGCGACTAGCTGCTTGAGCAGGTTCGACGGAACGAGCTCCTACAGCAGATGTCCGACAGAACCATCGCCGAGTGCAGACTACAGGTAGAGGAGCCAACAGGAAGGGAAGAGGGCGGGGAAGGGGGAGAGAGATGGGGAGAGAGGAGGAAAGGGAGGGCGAGAAGAAGAGAGTAGGGAGGGCAACACGGGGGGAGGGGGGAGAGGAAGTTTGGATGATTCAGTTTGCAGGTTCAGTACTCAAAGGAGGCGGAGGGGCAGCTAGTGCACGACCTTGAGGTTCGAACTCTTCTTCCTCCAACCCCTCCCTCCCTCCCTCCCTCCCTCCATCCATCCATCCATCCATCCATCCATCCGTCCGTCCGTCCATCCATCCATCTTCTTTGCGTCTTGCTCTTACAACTCTTCCTGTAGAGCTCAAGACTGGAGCTGCACATCATGTCCGAGGAGCTGGAGGCCGTTCGAGCAAGCGAGAGTGAGCACAAGGAGCAGGCGGAGCGACTGCGGAGGAGGGTGAAGATGCTAGAGGACGAAAAGGTCAAGTGCTTCCTCCTCCTGTGCCTCGTGACCCAACAGCAGAAGGAACTCGAGCAAGCGATGGAGAAGGAGAGGCAGCGAAGCTCGCGGAGAGACGCATCCCCCGCCCAACCTGTCTGTCTTCCTCCTCCTCCTCTTGTCCTGACCTCAGGCTTCAGGACTCGCCGGATCTCCCCAGAGGGAAGAGTCCAGTTGGCATGGCGAGCGGCTTCAGCTCGATAGCGCAGGAGGGGGAGCAAGTAGCGAAGAGGAGCGGGGCAGGGAGGGGCGGCAAGCTAGGAGGGGTCGGAGATCAGAGGATGGTAGGGGGAGAAGAACTCATGAAGCTGCTGGAGAAGGTGCGGCAAGCGTATCGTGACAGCTGCGTCTGACGAGGGAACAGGCGTGGGAAGAAGGGAAGGAAGCTGCAGAGAGGAGGATGGAGTTCGAGAAGAAGGAGCTGCAAGAGCAATGGCAGAAGGTAAATCTCAACCATCTCCAACTTTTCTCCTCCTCCTCCTCCTCCTGTCCGCCATCCTCCCCCCTCAGCACGCATGATGACGGGCATGCAGGTGAAGGATATCAAGCTCAAGGAAAAGCAGTCCAAGACCATGCTGAAGGTGTGCTGGGGGAGGGGGAGGAAGAAAGTGCTGGGGGAGGGGGGAGGAAAAAAGGAGGAGGGAGGGGCTGAGATCTGCATGCAGGCGATAACTCAGCGCAAGGTGTGGTGAGGGTGTTGTTGTCTAGCGTTACATACATTCAATCCTCGTCCTCGGAGAGCTGCAAGTCGAACACCTCGTCCTCCTTGTCGTCCGCTACGGGATGGGATGCGGCGACTCCTCCTACTTTGCTCTTCTTGGTCTTCTTCTTCGTTGCCGTTTCTTTCTTCGTGCTCTCCTCCTCTCCCTTCTTCTTTGCCGCCCTCTCCTGCCTCTCTCGCTTCCTCTTTTCTCTCCTCGCCTCCTTCCATCTCGGCTCTTTCGCTGTCTTGCCGTCCTCTTCAGCTCCAGTCGCCTCCTCCTCATCATCATCATCGTCCTCCTCCTCCTTGGCCTCCACCTGCTCAGTCGTCAGGCCTTCTCCCTCCTTTAGCGGGTTCACCTTGGCGTTTCTCTTCTCCATCAGCGTCTTCAAGTCTCCCCCGATTGTCGCCGACTGCAGCCACGCTGAGCGAAGCGGGGCCTGGCGGAGAGTCAGGACATGAGAGAGAGGAGGGAAGAAGAGAGGAGAGGATGCAATGTAGGCAAACGAGAGTGAGAAGGGGAGGGAGAAGAAGGGGGGGAAGGAGGAGGAGGAGGAGGAGGAGGAGGAGGGGAGGGAGAAGAAGGGTAGGAGGAGGAGGGGGAGAAGGGGAAGAGGAACGACCTGTCCTTGAGGGTCGGCGGATTGGAGAGCATTAATAGGAAGAACTTCCTGGGGCGAGATGCTCGACGAGTTTCTCAACCTCGCGATGAAGGAGGCGTTGCGCTCGAAACGCTCGATCACGTCCTTGACCTGAGAAGCGAGAGAGTGAGGAGGGAGACAGGGAAAGCAGGGAGGAGGGGAGAGACAGAGGAAGCGACAAGGAGGGGAGGAGGGAAGGAGCTGACCTGACGGCGAAACCTCGAGACCTGCGTTGCCTTGGCGAACAACCTGAGCTGCATGATGCAGGGAACGACGAGCTCGGGGAAGGACGGGCTGTAGCAGCAGGAGCCGTAGAAGAGGACCTGACAGGAAGGGGTAAGGAAGCCTCTTCCTCCGACTCCTCGACCAGCACCAGAGTCTTGAGCGTCTCCTCGAAGGCGGCCTCCTGGTAGAGGCGGGTGGACAGGACCGTCTTGCTGACTTTGATGCCGACCTGGAAGTCGTGGGGGTGCGAGCCAGCCTTGACGGAGGTGTTGTGAAGGTCGCGCTTGGTGAAGATGTCGAGGATGTGGGGAGAGAGGGGGATGTAAACCTCGCAGTGCCGCTGGACCCGCACGAGAACCTGGCAGACCTGCAGGCGGAGCGGGAGATGCTTCGGGGCGTTGAGGTAGGTGAGGACACCGAGGGCGATCTGAACCAGGGGATAGACGAGGGGGCCCAGCGCGTCCTTGCCGGGGTAGGAAGAGAGCATCCTCCCCCAGAGCTTGAGGGAGTTGAGGTACTGCCAGCTCGAGATCACCTTGTGAGCGTCTGCGAGCTCCGGTCAGGCCTCATGACTTGCCTTACAGCAGGAAGAGGAAGCAGAGGCGAAGAGCGAGAGGTGAGGGAGAGCAACGGCAGCAGCAGCTAGAGCGGCAGCGAAAGCAGTGGCAGTAGCATGAGAAGGAGCAGGAGCAGGAGCAGGAGCACAAGAGACGCAGGAAAGGATGGGAAGGGAACCGGCACTCTTGGAGGCAGAGGTTGTGATAGCTGAGCGGAGCTGGATGGCCATCTGGCGGATGTAGACAAAGGAATGCTCGTAGGCAATGTTCTTGTCCAGCCCGAAGAGTTCAACGACACATTGAGCCATGAAAGCCTTGGCAACAAGTCAGAACCCGCCTGCCATGTTCCTCTCCGTCTCCTGCTCCCTTCCTCTCAGCTCCTCTCAGCTCCTCTCAGCTCCTCTCAGCTCCTCTCAGCTCCTCTCAGCTCCTCTCAGCTCCTCTCAGCTCCTCTCTCCCCTTGCACTTTCGTGTCCTACGCTCACATCTCCCTTCAGCTTTCCCCCTTCCCCCATCCCCTCCAGGTCGCTCGTTACCTGCCCCTCGATGACGTTGAGGTTGGTGAACTTGCAGTGTCGCACGTAGGTGAGGTAGAGCCCCTTGTAGCAGCCGTCGATGAAGGGGTAGGGCATCTCCACTGCCAGCCGGCGGACCAGGAAGAATGCCTGAACGCGGTTGCTCTCGACGCTCCCGAAGACTTGGAGGGAAAGCTTCAGCAGCTTCCTGGCGATCTTGGGGAAAGGGCTTCACAAGCTGGAGGTCAGCTGGACAAGAGAAGAAAGAAGCAGGAGCACCGGATGTAGGCCAGCAGCCTCTCAGCATGTCGGAGGAGCAGATGCGTCATAGTTGGGTCCGTCAGCGTCTCGAGGAAGTTTACCATGCTCTTGACGTACCTGCCACGAGTGGTCAGACACCCGCTGGGACTTGACCTGCAAGTGTCTCTCACGCTTTGATGGGGAGGGAAATTCGCTTCCATCTGTCACTTGACTGAGGATTCGCTTTCTTGGCTGCTCCTCCTTCCTCCGAGGGCTTCAGCTTCAGGTAGAGGCTCAAGTAAATGTGCATCTTCGTCAGGCACATGCGCATCAGCCGCTCGAAGACTTGTGCGCTGACGATTCGAAACTTGAACTTGTTCTTGGCCCGTTCGACAGCCTCCGCATCCTTACCCTTGGTATCGACCACATCCTCCACGTTGCATGCGCTTTCAAACGCTCTGATCAGATCGCGGAGCCCCTTGAAAGATTCTCCTCCCAGCAGCGACCTGTTCCACCTGTCCAAAGTCTGCAATGTGAGGATCTGGACCCCGTCGTCCTCGTCCTCTCCCTCCTCCTTGCCGGCCTCAGCCTGCTGACCTTCATCCCCCCCCTCGTCCTCTGAGTCGTCAAAGTTGAGCAAGTCCTTATCGTTCTCCTGGAGGTACTTGTAGAATTCTGGCTGCTCCACTTTCAGTCTCTCAAGGTCCTGCTTGTGCTTCGAGATCGCATCTGTGTCTGAGAGATCGTCGTCCTCCCCTTCGCCCTCGTCCTCGTCCTCCCCTTCGCCCTCCTCGCCATCGCTCTCTGCCTCAGATGGCTCTTCCTCCTCAAGAGCCTCAAAAAATCCTTTCTCGAGGAAGTCTTCAACGTCTTTATCATAATCGTCTCCTTTCTTGCTTTGGACCTTTTCCTTCGACACCTCCTGGCTCTCCTCCTCCTCCTCCTCCTCCTCCTCCTCCTCGCTCTTTCCCTTCCTTTCAGCCTCCAGCTCTTGAGGAGACTTTCTCGCGCCCCACTTCTTCTTCTCTCTGTAGTTGATCTTCTTCCTCATCTTCCTCGCCTTGAGCTCATCGCTCAGCCGCTTCTGGCTGAACCTCTTCGTTGCCTTCGACACTTTCCCCATGGCTGCACGTGCGGTGGCGCGGATACCGTTCCGGATAATTATCGGATACTGTCCCGGATACTCACGAGTAACTTACTGGCACGGGGGGCGGGGGGGCCGGCGGGCCGCCGCGGCTTTGTGGCTCGGAACCTCACCTGCCACTGCGAGCCTGCCCAGTGAGCCTTCGGACTCCGAGTCCCAGTCCGCTCAGTCACGGGGGCGGTAGTACCGGCCACGCGCACGGTCGTCCGATACCGTGGTCACTGACCCCCGCCGCCGGCCCCCCGGGGGCGGCGGGCCGCGCGCGGCCCGGGCGCGGGAGTCACACGGAGGGAACGTAATGTCATACGTAATGTCACAGGGGAGGCCGGCGGGCCCCCCTTGCCGCCGCGGCTCAGTCCGCCGGTCACGCCGCTGGCACGGATGGCAGTCACGGGCGCCCGGGGGGGCGGCCGGCGCGCAGTACGCCGGGGGCGCTGGCCCGAGGTGCCTGGGCCCCGCCGCCGCCGTGCCAGCCCACTACTAGGGAATTGACCGTCAAACTGGCGGCCCGGGCCCGGGCCTTCCGACGTGACTCTGAATTCCCAAGTTCCGTGTGACTGAGAAACTTCCGGGCGGCCGTCGGACCATCGGATCGGACTCAGCAGCCTCAGTCAGCGGCCGCAGCGGCGCCGCTGCAACCGAACACCGGGTATTCCGAGCCCGACGATCGTCGGACGCCGGGGGTACGCCGGACTCAGACGGTCACTCAGTGAGTCAAGCAATCATTCATGATTGGCAAATGACCGTCCGATCGCCGGGGGGGACCGGGTGCACTGAGTCACTGAGCCCGGCCCGGGGTGATTGGGTATTCTTCCTTTGGTCGTATAAACACTTTTTACGCCCTCACAGAGTCACCGAGCGGATGGAACCGAACCGTGTGAAGTCAAAGTTGGGCGACAGGAGGAAGAGAGCCTGGCAGCATCGAAGCATTCACAACTGTCGCAGAGACAAGTAGAGCATTGAAAATTGATTATTAGAACCTTCACAGAAGCATCGCAAGTACAAGAGGCGAGGAAAAACTTAGAATCGAAGTGAAGAAGCGAAGAGATGTACAGAGGTGAAGCGAAGTGAAGGAGAGGAGTGAAGTCAAGGAGAGAAGCGAGCCTCCAGTCTTCGACGAGCTTGAGCAAGCTCCATCGCTCTCGCCTTCCATCCCAGGGAGAAGTCAGACCTGATCAAACCGTTGAAACCGGGCAGCAGCGAAGGAGGGAGCTCGTGCTGCTTGCCCTCCGACTTCGCTTGGGGAAAACGCCTGTCACTGTACTCCGGAGCCACCACCGGGATCTGCCTCTTCCCCTCCTCCTCCTCTTCCTCCTGCAGGCGTTTCCGCACTCCATTAGTACGCCTGTGATCGCGGAGAGCCTTCCATAGTTGCTTCGATTCCCTCCTCGTCACCCCGCACCTGTCCATGACGTCGTCGAAGTGCTCCTCGTCGTTCCGGAGCGCCTCGACGTCTGCCGCCTCCAGCACTCCACCTCGCTCCAACTTCTCCACCACAAACTCACAGTCCACTTCCTCTAGCATCCCCCGCGCCTGGTCGCTCATCCTTGCTCCTGTCTTCTCTGACAGCTCCACCCCAGACTCGTCGATCTCTCCACGAATTGTCGCCTCTAGGGCTGATGCTTCTGGGGAGGGCTGCGAGTGAGGGCCGTGAGCGCCTCCCCGCTCCTTGTCCGACATCGTCCTGGTAGCTGCTGGCTCCCCTCGTGTGTGAACGAGGTAGGAGAGCTCGTCCAGAGCGGTCACAACGTACTTGAGGATGAAGAGAATCGAAGATGTCCCGTTGTCCTCGTGCGTCTCCAGCGCGATCGTCCGCGAGACCACTCGCTGCACATATCTGCGGAGGTGGAAGCGCATGAACTGCATGAACTGCTGCCTGTCCATGCCCTCCTCTGCGATGCGCTCGACGTCGAGCAGGTTGGAACCGTGCGAGTTCATGACGCGCATCATCTCGACGAGCCCATGACTGTCAATCTGCACAATCGGACGGAACGCCAGCTTCCTCAAGCCAGCCGAAAACTCTGACAGCGTGAGAACCTCGTCGTCGTTGTCGACGAGGACTTGAAAGAGGTCGCTGAGGCGCCGGAGAAGGTCGTCAGTGCTGTGAAACTGCGAGAGGTGTGAGAGGAGGGGATCTAGAGTGGTATAGAGCAGCCTCAACTCTGAGTTTGAGTTCTTTTCCCTGTGCATGGCAGCCTTCTCGTCGGATGCCGCCTTGAGGAACTCGTCGAGCAGGACAGCAAGCACCACGTTGACGATGATCCATGAGACGATCAGGATGTAGCTCAGGAAGAAGATGGCTATGCTCGAGCTGTACCCTCCCAGCGGATCCATCATTGGCCGAGCAACGGAACTCGCCCAGCCATCTCCTGTCACGCACTGGAACATGGTGAAGAAAGCTCGCGAGAAGGTTCCAAAGAAGTCAGGAGACGACTGACTGAAGAGCCCAACCCCAAGGATGGCATAGACCATGTTCGCGAGCAACAGGATGACAAACACGTTGGCAACAGGAATGACGGAGGATGCCAATGCTGTAATAATCATCCGGAGAGACGTCAAACGCTTGAACACTCGGACCTGACGGCAGTTAGACAGGACAAGAATGGGTCCCAACGAAAGTCACTCACAACTTTCAGGACGCGGAGGATACGGAACCCCTTCACTCCCGGTATGTTGGAGGCGTAGAATGATAGCAGGGAGACAACAACAACAGAAGTATCCAAGACATTCCATGAATCCATCAGGAACGGAGTAATCCAGTTTGCAGTCACGTTGATAGCGAGCTTTGACATGCAGACGTCCAAGTGAACAAAGAAAAGCAGAAAACAGAAAATCAGCGACGAGACGCGACAAACAAAGAACGACTCACCTCAACCGTGAAGATGATGGTGAAGAAATTATCTGCGTTCTGAAAGAGCTGCCAACAACTCTATCACTATCGATATCAGCCAAAATCTCGACTCACATTATTGAGAGGATCGTCTGGTGCTGTGTTGAGCTCAGCCTCCGCAATGTTGAAGGCGAAATTGACGAAGATGAGGAGGATGACGAACAGTTGGAACGGGAAGCTGTCGTAGACCTTCTTCACCTTGGCATTCCAGCACTCCAACTTAGACAGCGCCCGTTGCTCCTTCGCCTTAGCAGCCGTGACGAGTTCCGTCAGGCACTCAATCCATTCCACACGCTCAAGGGGGCTACTGGCCTTGAAGGCGAGAGCGCGGACCTGATTCTCTCTCCTGCTGTAGACGCAGATGGCGAAGGATCGCTGGGTGGAGTCGTCGTAGATGTCGTCGCACGCGTGTTCCATGGGCCCGACCAGCAAGTCCTTGATAGACTGCAACGCTCGCAGGGGAGACATCTTCGGGGCATGACACTCCCGCTCGACGATCTGACGCGCGTCCATGTCCACGATGTCCGCAAGCCAGAAGCTTTCGAGCAGAGCTCCCGACTGATTATCACACACAAACAGTTTCATGTCCGACACCATCACTTTTCTTGGAAGCCATAATCCGCTCAAACCTGTGAGAGCAAGTCAAATTGAACATTGCGATTGCTCTTCAGATGTAAACGCTCAAAGGGAAGTGGCTGTTCACACCGTACCTGCTGATTGCTTAGAAAGCAAACTCTCTTTGACGATCTCCGATGCTTCAGGCAAGTTGTTCTGTGTTTCAGATCGCAAACTGTAGACAGTCGGCCGCCTGTAGGAAAATTGTCCAAGATTGAACCCTCTCTCGACGCCACCACAGCAGCAGCCATTTCGAATGAAGAAAACAGATGTTTCAGAGCTGTACGAGTTCACCACCGAGTTTTCAAACTGAAGCAGAACAATCAAGCGCTGGCATCGGTCCGATCGGGTGAGGCCGCTTGTTCGAGAGCTCTTGTGTTGAATACAGGATGACCCCAGATAGAGAGTTTCCCAGAATCTGAGGTATTCAAACAGATTATGCTAGATCAGCACCTTCTCTGCACATGCTTGATTTTCGCAGCAATCAGTTCTCGCACTTCCAGCCAGCTCGAACTGATTTGTTGACTTGACAAGGCCACCAGTAGTTCTGAATAAACAAAAGTCACATTATGGACATGTTTGTAAATCTACACGCTATCAAAGTGGTGCATAAATTTGTCGCCGTATGCGTGACCAGCAAGCACACACCCTAACGTTTCTGCCATGCACCGCATGCCGAACTACTGTGATGTCGCTTGCTCTTCCTTAGTCACCAACTTCCAATCTCTCACAAGATCAACCACGACTGCAAGACACCATCTGGGAATCTCGAACCATCTCGTAGCATTTCACATTAACTTCATATCATAGACCAATCAGGTCTCATCGCATCGCATCGCATCGCATCGCATCACTACTCTACTGCAGCTCTCCTGTCAGATTCTCGTTCGACGCACCCTCCCTCCATTGATCCCATCTCGATCTATCCTCGTCTGCACCCTGCTCTCTTTTTCGCTCATTCACTTATTCACTCTAATGCATGGTCGCTTGTTTCACTGCCCTCAAGCTTGATTCTTCGCTCATCCCTACCACGCAATTTCCACCAGCTCGTACGAGGGAGGAAGCCAGCGAGCGAGCGAGCAAACATGGGTGGGAGCGCTAGAGGGAGCCAGGGGTCAAGGCAGCGAGCGAGGAAATGGTAGAATGAATGCTGATGCCATTGAATGTCGCAAGGGACCCCTCGCCCACCATCTCCTCAACTCGCACTCGTCGCATATCCTTGCTCGAAGAATGCCACCCCACCACCCTACATCACACCACCCCCTACCCTCCCTTCTTCAGTACCCCTACCCACATCTGTTACAAGGAAGACTGGTCGTGTTTCACCCGACCCAACTGACTTCCTTGAGTACCCCTACCCTGTAAGTTAATGCCGTACCCCTATCGCCCAAATTTTTGACGCTACCCCCTACCACCCCTACCCTTTCGTTTCCCAATGGCTCTCTAGTCATGACCCTCGGAATTAAAACTTGGGGACTAAAATAAAACTACCCCACCCTCCTCCAGCACGTCCATTTCTTGCCCCAAGATCACCCCACCCTTTCCCTTATATGACCCCCCAATCACAGATTGCATCTCAATCGTTCACTACCCCACCCCATTCTCAGATGTCCTTCAAGACCACCCTACCTACCCTACTCAGCACTTGTTACTTTCATCACCCCTGATTGTACCTAATCTACCCCTGTCCCCCTAGTGAATTCAATCTTATTGAATTCACTACCCACCCCACCCCCACTCTTACAACGTTGATATGTGAAAAGTGAGGAGCACTCTTGACTACCCCCACTTTTTG